GTTTCCGGTCACGGTGCACGTGAGAGGCAAGCGATCCATGTTTCTCTACTGCTCTCTCCCTCCCTTCCCTTTTCTCTAGGAGTAAATAAAATCTTTTAAAAAGTCACAAAATGTCTTCAGAAAACTGCAAAACCTATTTTAAAAGGCCATATCAGAAGTCAAGTCGCATTCCATGCAGTCAGCAAACAGGGGCGGGCCAAGGTGGGTCCGGAATCACGAGCAAGGGTGCAGTAACTCATCAGTAACAACGCAGGAATGAACTCTGAACTCTGCGTCTCTGTGCTCACAACGGTGAACCCCGTATTTGAGTCAACAGGGCCTTGAATTGTAAAGCGTTTCGAACAGCAGCAGTGGGTTCAAATAACGTAACTTTGTCTCAGAATGAGCATTGCCCCCAGCACAGATGCTGCATTCGTGAGGGTCGGAGTCAATGAGCATTGCCCCCAGCACAGATGCTGCATTCGTGAGAGTCGGAGTCTCGGCCGTGAGTTCCAAGTTCCGGGGAACGTGAGGCCCACCCCCGGCTCTGGAGCGAATGCTGGGGCGCCTCCCAGGTTGCTCGCAGGCAGGGAGCATGGGGTTGAGTGGGGGACGGAGCTGCTCAGCCTCCCAACTCACAGAAGCGTCCTGTGCTGAGGGTCTGAGCAAAAATAACCTGGATTTTTATAGACTCGTATTTTTTCCCAAGCCCTTGGCCGGGAATCGTATTAAATGTAACCGTTCAAAATAAGTTTCCCTGGGAAACTCTGAAAACGCACTCTTGGAAGACTTCAAAAACATTGACTTTTAAAAGTATATATTATTATTACTCATTTTCCATGACCCAAATGATTATTACCAAAAAAAAAATCAGAAATATACAAGGCTGAAGAATACGATTTATGAAGTAAGTACCTCTCTCTCAGAGAGAATCACAACCAGCAGGTTCGTGTGTAAGTCTCAGAGATTTACACACACGTTTTTGTGTGTGTACACACACGCGCACACACAAACAGAAGTGGTTTTTTCTTTAACAAAAAGTGAATTCTGTGCTAAGAGACAGGATCTTAATCGCTCCTGCCACAGAACAGAAGTCATCACATAATGGCCGAGAGCTGCCAGCTAATGCCGCGCCGCTGATCATACTGTAATACGAGGGAGACCCCCAAAACTGGCATTTATTTATGAAAAGTCGTGTGTTCGTCTCTACATGTTTCAACTTCAGTCCCCTCCCAAGTATTCTCCATCGGATGCAACGCACCTATCAAAACATTTTTCCACTGCTCCAAGCAGTTTTTAAACTTGTCAACTTTGATTCCTTTTACTGCTTCTGCCGTTTTTGGTCTCACCTCCTTCACATCAGCAAAGCATTTCCCTTAGAGGACTTTTCTCACCCCGGGAAACAACCCAAAGTGTCCCTTGGGGTGAGATCGGGTGAGTAGGGAGGATGGGGCACAGGGGTCAGGGGTCATGATATTTTTTGGTCAAAACCTGCTGAGCATTCAGCACAGTGTGGGCAGGTGCACGTGCAAATCACCCATCATGCAATGGGGCAAACAGAGTGAAAGAATCTTCAAGAAAGATTCACTGAAGCCAAACGCAGCCTCTCACAACAGCGCCAGCTGGTGCACGGATCCAGATGGGTTCCCAGAACTCTCACCTAGCGGGAGAAGCCTGGACTATAAGCGGCCCACCCTCCAGAAGACAATTCCGATGTTTTTTGAGTCCCCCCTCATATATACATGTACTGAGTCGATGTGGCGTGTACCTTAAACTTACACAATGTCATATACGCCAACTATAGTTCCAATTTTTTAAACATGTTATCTATTTTTAGAGAGAGGGGAAGGGAGGGAAAAAGAGAAGAGAAACATCACTGATCAGTTGCCTCTCATATGCGCCCTAAACAGGAACTGAACCTGTAACACAGATTAGTTCCATTTTTTTAATGAGAAGCTATTTGAACTGTAATATGCAATGGTAATTTGTTGTTTTCACTTAACGGTTTATCGGTTTATCGGGGACACGGTTCCTGGGTTGGGGGGCGCAGGACGGCAATGCTGTGGGGCAGGGGAGGGCCAGGGGCTCTGGGCCCAGAGGGCGCAGCGCAGGCGCGAGACCGGGGGCCTTGGCTGCCCAGGCCGGCCCGCACGTCACTGAGACGCTTCTGGGAGTGACTTTGCCCCAGGCCAGGGACTTGTCCGGTTTTGTAAACGGCAGGGCCCTCGGGTGGAACTGGACCCCAACACGGGCCTTTGACCCCAAACCCGGGTGAAGTGACTGCGACCCGACTGGAACCAACAATCCACGGGGTGGCGGTGTGTCCGCGCAGTGGGAACCTGTCTCGCCGTAAAAGGGAAGGACGGTCGGACACCTGCCGCACCCCGGATGAGCCTGAGCACGTGGCACTCAGCGACAGGAGCCGGACGCAGAGGGCAAATGCCGCGCGAGCCACTTCCCCAAGGGACCCGGAGGGCTCACGTTCACAGAGACACAGAGCAGGAGGGAGGGCGGGGCGGGGGGGCGGGGGAGGAGCCAGTGCTCCCCGAGGACGGAGCTGCCGCTGCCAGCTGGGAAGGTGCGGGGGTTCCGGAAGCAGGTGGTGGCGACAGTCGCACAGCACACACTGGGAGTGCACCCGATGCCCCCCGAACTGTGCGCTCACACACCGTCAGCTTCTTGTCAGATTTCACCCGGAGAGCCAGCGTGGAGTGCACGGCGTCCACTCCAAGGAGAGTCCATCTCCAAGGACAAGCCGCACCACTCCACGCGGAGCTTGGCCTCCCCCTCCCTCGGGCGGGGCCGGAGAAACTGGCCCTCCGTGGAGGCGAGAACCAGGTGGGCGTGCGGCCCGGGCCCCCCCTCAGGGCGCAGAGCTCCACGAAACAACCGTTCACAGAGCTCAGTAAATCCAAATGGCTCCTAGCGCTTCTGCTTTGCTTCCCTGGGACTGAAGCCCAGGGCACAGCGCTCCTGGAGGCGGGAGGGGCCCTGGGGCCCCATCAGACCCTCAGCCGCTGCAGGCGTGGCCCAACCGGTGCCCATTCCCATGCACCCAGGACCCCCTCAGCCACCGCTTACCACACAGAGGTCGTGCCCTGTGGTGGCGCCTCCAGAGGGGTCGCTTGGGCACCGTTTCCCCACCCGCAGGGAGGCTGCTGTGGGGTAACAGTGTTACATACTGACACAGCCCTGTGGGTTTATTGTATCCTATGAAGAAGGTATTGTTTCCGCAAGGGTTTGGAAAATTTAAGAAACAAAACAAAACAGCGAGGTTCACCGCAGCAGAGAGTTTAAGAGCCCCGCTGTGGTCGAGGGCAGGTCCCCAGGAGGATGGGAAAGTGGGCGGGGGGGTGTGCATGTGTGTATGTGAGAGGGAGAGAGAGGTCAAACCCAGGGGACAGGATGAAACTGTTCTTTTTCAGCAACAAAAACACCATTGTGTTGGGTAATTACATATTGCATAGTTTCCAGGATAAACGAAAACATTTGTTTCCATTTTGGTGGAAATGAGAACAAACTTCTTCCCCTTCCGGAGCCAGTCCTGCGGCCTGGCCAGGGAACTCCGGGCTGGGATTCCGGGGTCAACGGGCCTGAGACCCACAGTGCACAGGCCACCAGCCCCCGCGGTCCCCTCCCTGCCTCGCCCTGTGTTTTGCGCCCGGGTGCACGGGAACATCTCGCCCATGGAGAGAACCTGCCCAGACGGCTCTGTGGTCCACTGAGACGCCCCCGACACCGTGGGCCTCACTTCCCCCCGGGGGGCACAGGGCCCGTTGATTCCCTTTGGTTCACAAACGACTCCTCTGAGAGGCCAGTGCATCTAACTTCAGTTTTCATTCGCTTCCGCCACAACAGTGACCGAGGTGGGTTCTTCCCCGTCGTTCCTGTGCACGACGAGAGGGGGGCCTTTCTGGACGTCAGTCACGCGAGGACGTGCCGTGGTGCCGTGGTGCGGGCGGGCCGGGGGCCCAGCAGGTGACTCTGGGCCTCGGACTCGGCTCGGAGCCTCGGAATCTAGAGTCAGAGCTGCCGGCCTCGGGCTGTTCTCCACCCTGTGCGGCCCGGCCCTGGGGGAGCCGAGGGGTGGCGGGGGGGTGGGGGGGTGCGTGTACATGCAATGGTAGCAGGCTGTCCCGGGACTGGGCCCAAAAGGGGTGGGTGAGGAATGGAGAAATAGCGTGGGACTTGTCACCGCCGGTTTTTTTTTTTTTAACTTCAGACTGACGCGTCTTCTCCGATCCGTAAGCCCCCGAGAATTCTCCCAGCCTCCCCCGGCGCCTTTGTCATGTGCCCTCTGCGTGACCAGTTGCATCTGCTGAGTCTCACTGTCCCGGGGCTGGAGAAGAAATGAGTCCCTCTGAGGGGACGTCTGGCTGGCTCCCCCGGGTCCCCGGCCTGGCCACGGTGGGGGGGCCACAGTGTGGTTCCCCTCCTGTGTGTCTCTTGAGGGAGAGCTTCTAGGGGACTCCACGGAAACCACAGCTGCTGGCGTGTGTCATGTGACGTGAGCCTGTGGCCGGGCCCGCCGTCCCGTGGTGGGCGGCGGGCCTTGGCCTCAGCCCCGTCTGTGGCCCCCAGGCCGGGCCGGGCTCCTCCGCTTTAGGTTCTCGGGGGGCAAGCCCCAGAGGCCTGCAAACACGGCTCCCCCGGAAGACAGACTGCGCCGAGGGGCCCGGCGCGCCCCCAAAACCAGCCCAGAGTCGTCGGGCCCCCAGCCAACACCCGTGCGGGCCGTCCTCACACTCACTCCAGCACCACGCACCGACACACACATCCTGACAAGTGGCTGCTCTTCCTGCTGCGTCAGATGCCCAGGGGACCGTAGCTCTGCTCAACCAGCCAGGCCAGCCATCCCCTGTCCTGCAGCGCACAACCCCCCCCCCCACACTCACCGGTTCCCAGGCACCTGCTCACCCTCACACACTCTCCTGCTCACACCCACCTGCTCACACCCACCCTTACCCACCCACTCACCGAGGCATGTGTGCATGCAGGCACGTGTGCACTCACACCCACGCATGTGCACGCACACACCTATGTAACACTCACACGCACTTTTTTTACACAGCCACCTTTGCAGCGAGAAGAGCTGGGAATGTCTATTCTGAGTACAGGCACCTCCTTAAGGGCAAGTGCATGCTGGGATGGCACCGTTCAGGATGAAGGGTCTTCCCAGCAAAACGCTCTGCGCCCACATCCCACGTGCCCGGCTCAAAAGGAGGACGGTCGGAGGCCAGGAAGGTCTCTCTGTCCGAGGGGCAAGGCGGGACCTGGAGCGGAGGGGAGGAGGCGCAGGTGCCCACCACGTGCAAGGACGGCTCCCGCGTGCAAGGCCACGGTCATGTGCACAGTGAAAATGTCTCCTCTTTGAAACCAGGCAGAGGCCACCTCTCCTGAGCGGGCATTTGACAGCCCAGCGGTGGCTACTTCTCCGCCTCCCGCAGTTCCCTCAGCGCAGCCTGGAGAAGGCGCCGAAGCTTCCAGAACATGGTGGGAGCGGCCGCCTGAGGGCCGTGGGGGTCTGCACACTCCTGCACCGCCTCCCGCAGCTGCCGCTGGAGCCGGAGGGAGACGGCAGAGCCCCCGAGGGTGGGGGAGAACCAGTGCCGGAATATCTTGTCGCAGACCACCTGAGGGGAAGGCCGGGGGCGGGGTGTTAACGGGGGCAGCTAATGCCCCCCGAGAGCCCCCCCCGAGCCTGAGAGTGGTCCTCGAGACCTCGCCTGTGCTCCCACCCCTCCCCCAGGGGCCTTCCAGGGTCAGGGGGTCCTGCAGACGTCCTGGGACCCGGCCCCACGGATACACCTCCCATCCGGGACCAGGCCACCGAGTGTAGGGTAGAAAACTCCCTTCTGGCCTCAGGGTGGGCGGGGACGCCCTGGCCACACGCCACCAGGATGCAGCGCGTGCAGGTCACAGCGGGGGCGGCGGGGGGGTCGCCGGCAGAGGCCGCTCACCTGCAGGTTGCTGTTGGCCCGCTGGGCGCTGCACCTGTGGGCGCGCAGGTCACACCTGGAAAAGCAGTCGAAGAAACTGCAGTCCTCGTCCGCCGTGCAGTTCTGCTCGAGAATCTCCCTCATCTTGGGCTCGAAGAAGGCCATGTCCACGTCGATGGCCACCACCTGCAACCGAGCAGCACAGGTGAGTGAGGGCGGCGGGCCAAGCGCCGACAGAGGCTGCAGGGCGCTCCGTCCCCGCCCACGAGCCGGGGTCCCGGGGCTGCGGGCTCACGGGGCTCTGCAGCCCGGCCCTCGGGGAGACGCGGCTCGATTCCGCTCGCAGATGACAGAGACACTGACTGTGCTGCAAAGGGCGCCGGGGCTGTCCCCGGAGACAGCCGAGGACTTGGACCCTGTACCAGCAATGACCCTCTCCACCTCCCGGCGTTTCTCAGCTTTTCCCGGAGCGCCTCTGAAAGGTCTTCAGAACGAACTGCCCCCCCATCCCGGCTTTCCCGCTGGGCTGGCTGACCCCCAAGGGTCGGGATGCCGACGCAGTGAGGTCAGGTCATCGACCCGCGTGAACAGAAGCAACGGACAGAAGGGAACCACACTCAAGAGGCAGGGCGGCGGGCGCGGCGGCGAGGAGGAGGCAGGTGGTGTCTAAGGCGCCTGCTGGTGGCGTCTCTGTCACCAGAGTCAACGGCTCTGCCCCTGACGGGCTGGAGGGACACGTGGGGGGGGGGCAGTGGCAGCGTCGGCGTCCTTGACATCAGGCTGGTGCGTGTGGAGCCTGACGCCGCCCGCATCAGACCCCACACCCCAGCGTCAGCGTGAGAACCTCGACCACCCCCCCAGCCCGGGAATTCCAGCTCTGTCTTCTTGGCCTCGAACCAAAGAGGCGTCAAAACCACAAGAATAACATCCAAATTATGCAGATTCCCCTGAATTTAAGTCACCTGAATTTAAAAAAAGGAAGAAGATGAACTCCAACCGGGGGAAACCTGGAGTCGGCCCAAACCAAGCAGTGCATAGCTCCCGGGCATTAAGAAGCTATTACGAGACCTGACGGATGGATGGGAGGGCGGCGGCGGCGTCTCACCAGCCCTCTGGGGTCAACGCTGGACCGTCCCCCTCCCCCTCCCCCTCCCCTCGTGGCCTCTCCAGAAAGGGCTCCTCACTCTGGAGTCTCTCTCACTCAGGATCGATGCCAAAAGGCAAGAAAGTTTCTGGGGGAATAATCAGTAAAACAGAGGAGGGAAAATCATTTATTTCAAAATAGGGGGAGAATAATGGAAAACAAAACGGGAGCTTTTCCTCGTTAAGAGCTTTGCCCAATTACTAATTCGGGCACGGCAAACAGAAATTATCATTTTAATCGGTTTTTCCTGTCTCATTATTTAGCCAAAAGAAATAGCTCACTCCGTTATTTGCCCTGGCTAATAGACCGAAAAAGGATGAGGTTATGCTAATGAACTGTTTGGCTTTCCAGCGTCTGATTGGACGGACCTGCAAGACCCTTCTCTTTTCCCTACGGTTTCTGGCCACGCCCCCAGCTGCCCCTGGGCCCCCCAGGTGGCATCTGGGCTCCTGGCGGTTTCTCTCCGCGCCGTTTCTGACGGCTGCCTTCCCGTCTCCCAGGAGACCCAGATTTATCTTTTCATTTCTCTGTAAGGCAGAGGAGGGGTTACAGCCACCGTGCGCAGAGCCGTAAGCACCTAAAATAGGAACGGCGACAACAGGAAGCTGCGGGAGGTTTCTTCAGCCGCGTCTGAAACTGCGTCTCAGAGTCCTTACTCTTCCCCCGTGGGCAGAGCCGGCAACCCACGCCGTCCGCAGGCTCCATCTGGCCTCAGCCTGGGGAGGACGGGTCATTTCGCCCCCTGGACAGTGTGGCTCTGGGGCCGGAGGCCTGTCACCAGCTGGAAAGGCGCCCTCGCTGGCAGTGAGCAGCAGTGTTTTGTGCTCGTGTGTGTGTGTCGGGGGGGGTGGGAAGCCGCCAGCACCTGGGCGTGGGGACCTGCAGACAGGGAATGGCTGTGAGCTGTCAGTTCTTCCCGCCCCCTCCCGACACCTGGGCAACCGCAGCCTGGCCCGCAGGGAGGCCCCACCTGCGGCCCCTCAGCCGGAGCGGAGCGCATCGGAGACACCTGGAGGCGTGCTTCCCAAACAGGGGTTGCCACAACCCACCCCCGGCTTCCGACTCGGGAGGCCTCCGGGGTAAAGTCGGAGGCCCCGCATTTCTGACAAGTTCCCTGGTGGTGCCGAAAGGGCTGCTTTCAACTTAGAAGTTGTACAACCGCAGGTGACGTGAACTCCTCCAGCCTCCACCCTGGAAGGATGGTCCCTAACGGGGGTGAGCACAGTGGAACCCCGTCCTTGCGCCCCGCCCTCACCCACACTGTCCTGGGGCCAGGGCCCGTGTGCTTCCGGAACAGTCCGTGCACACGGCAAGTTGGGGCTCGGGCAAGGGTGCAGACGTGATTTCATCGAACTGCTCTGCCAGAGGTGCCGGCTGGCCCACCTGTGGGGGACCACGCCCAGGTGGGGCCATCGGTGCCTCCACTCCTGAGCTTCTCCCGGAAACCCAGCCCAGACAGCCTCTCGGGCCCTCCTCTGCGGTCACTGCCCGACACCCGGCCCAGTGCACGAGGGGTCTGATGCCAGGAGAACTGGCCCCTCGCTGTGTGACCCCTCCCCCGCCCTCTCCCGGCCCTCGGAGCGGCTGCGACCCCAGGACCTCCCTGAGGAGAGCAGCGGCCCTCCCTCCGTGTCTGGCACTGGGTGTCCCCACTCGCGCCGTCCGGCAGCCTCGGCCAGGACCTCAGCTCCGGGAACGAAGCCATTGAGTCCAGGGCTCCCTGCCCTTCCCAGGTCGTCTGCACGGGTCTCTTCCTGGAACTTCCCAGAACCCTCTAGAACCCCAAGGAAACCCCCCAGCTTATCAGCCCCTCGGGGGCCACCAGGGACAGGGCATCAGGACAAAGCAGTTTGGACAAGATGCTGCAACGCCCTTCACCTCGGCAAAGACTTGACAAGGAGTTCCCACGACTTCAGGCTGTTTCTTTAAGGAGACAGCCCTGTGTCACCTGCCGCGGGGCCACGGCTGGCTGTCACAGTGCCTCTCTTTGTCCCCCAGGTTCTCACCGGGTGAAGAGCATCGTCCACCGTGAGCCAGCCCCTCAGGGACCAGCCCACTGGGGGCGGGGCAGAGTCAAGCTGGCCTGGCCCTTCCTCTGCAAGCGCCTGCCGTGTAAGAGGTGACCCCAGCAGTGACACTTGGGGCCGGCCCAGCAGGGGGTGATGGGTGGGATGAGCTTCTGATGGTGCTGCAGCCCCCCCCACCCCACCGCTGCTCCTCGTTAGTGGCTGGTTTCCGTGGACACCGGAGAGGGAGCTGAAACGCTCCGGCCCCACGCCAAGCAGTGTGGGGTCCCCGACATCTCTGCCCGGGCAGGTCTGCCCCTCGCGGACGTCGCCCCAACTCTAGCTGTCCCTCAGGAAGGCTCATCCAAGGACGGGAAGCTCACCCGAACCCCCAGGGAGAAAGTGCCAGGAAACTCGGCGCAGCGTCCTGGGGCCTGGGCTGACTGCAGACCGTGCCCCCCGCTGGGCTGTGGCCCAGAAGCCCCCGGAGGCCATCCTCCCCGCGGCCCTGAGGATGGGCTCCGCAGGGGAAACCAGGACAGGCCTCAGGGAGGACCCGCCAGGCCATAGCCCGGACCCCTGCTGTCGGGCTAGAAGGCTGCACTGTGTTGCCGTGTTTCCCAGGACTTCAGAAATTCTCTCATTTCTGACCCCCCCACCGGACCGAGAAGCCCCCCACGTGACAGGCACCCCCACCCCCCGGGGCACTCACCGTGAGGTCCCTCCTGATGGCGAAGTTCTCGGGCTTGACGTCGCAGAGGTGCAGGCGGTGGGAGAAGCCGTGGTCGAACTGCCTCACCAGGTCCAGGAAGCTGAGCGCCATGTTGCCCACGGCCCGGGCCCGGCCCCGGCCCCGGGGGGCCCCGTCCAGGGGGAAGAGAGCCCGGTGGCGGGCGCTGCCAGCCGCCAGATACTCCACGGCGTAGAAGTGGCCACAGGAGCCCAGCACGGGCAGGGCGTGCGGGCTGAGCCCCCGCAGCACGCTGAGCAGGACGAACTCCTCCTGCTGCACCAGGGACCACAGGCTGGCCAGCTGACCCCGCCAGCGCGGGCCCCGGCGGCCCGGCCACAGCGGCCCCAGGCCACTCGCGGATGGCTCCAGGCCCAGGGCGCTCCTGACCTCCCCGGCCACCAGCAGCAGCAGCTCCGCCTCCGGCAAGGCCGGGCCCCCGTCCTCGGCCGGGGCCCCCAGCGGGCCAGGCGGCCGGAAGCTGGAGAAGGCTTCCTCCTTGGACTTGAGGATGACGGGGCGGCCGCGCCAGTCGGCCTGCAGCACCTTCTTGCCCCGGTCGTAGTAGAGGCAGCGCCGGTACCGCAGCTTCCCCGCCACGCACAGGTCCTCGCACAGGTCGCCCGCCAGCGCCCCGCCCCGGTAGTCCCGGCACTGCAAGGAAGGGACAGTGGACACGTGGGTCACCACCCAGTGGGGGCGGGGAGGGGGGCAGGAAAAGAGCCGGGTCCGCTCCCTGCCTGCGGGACGCGTCCAGCGGCCGCTGAAACCCGGCGAGGGTGAACCACACGGACTCTTCGGGTCAGCCAGTGCACGCCTGAGTGAAGGACACACACGTGTCTCGTTCTTACGTGTCTCCGTCAGGCCCGGGGCCAGGGCCTCCGAATCAACACCCAGGGGAGCAGGAGGTTCCCCCCCCACCCCCGTCCAGCTGGGTGATGCGGGGAAAGGCGGCTCGCCACCTGGGTTTCGGTGTCCTCACCTGCGGGTGAGAGGGCACGGCCAGGCGGTAGGGCCACTGAGGGCTCCTGAGCCCATCCGAGGGCAGCCAGGTCGGATCTCAGGGGGGTGGGGCCCGAGGCCACAGTCCTGGCCCGGCTGCTGGCGGGGCCCCGGAGGCTCTGGGGGGGTTACAGGGCTCAGGGAATGGGCCGCAGGAAACAGGAGCTGGAACAGGCCTCACGGCTGCTGGTGTCCGCAGGACCAGGGAGGGGACGCCACCGGAAGGCGGGGAGGGACCACGTGGGCTCGACTGTGGACAGGGAGGGCCGGTGGCTCCCAGTGCTGGTGTGAAAGGAGCCCGCAGATGGGGCATTTGTCCTCATCTTTGGGGGCCCTGCTGACAGGTGCCACACGGGGAGACCGGCGGCCCCCCTCACCACACTGCCACACTGCTGCCGTCCCTAAGAAGACAGCCCAGCCAGGCCCTGACAACAGGCCTGCTGGAGGAGTGGCCACAGGCACGGCCTACCTGTCTCCGCCACGCCTGGCCGGCCACCTTCCAGTGAACAAGTCCGGCTCTCCGCGAGCAGAGCTGCAACCCAGCGACAGGGCCTGGGCTCCGGAGTTCACAGAACTGAGGGGGCTGCCCTCGAACCTCCTAAACGACAGTGGGGTCTGACATGGGCGAGGCAGGGGCACAGCCAGCTGCGGTGGGTGGAAGGCTGGTTTGCCTCTGGGCTCTGCGCCTCCCCCCGAGGTGTGCGGCTCGTTTTCACGTCTGTAACAGGGGACGACAAAACTGTGCCTCAGGAGACCTGTGAGGGTCAGCCAAGGTCACGGGTGGTGCAGAGGACTGGTCATCTCAGAGATGCCAGTTTTCAGCCAGCCCTGGGCATTAGAAGCAGGGGCCAGGGAGGCCTCGTCCAGGACAGGTGCGTCCAAGCTCAGTTTTGAAGGACACATCACAAGCCTGCCTCTCGGGCAAGGGGGGCCAGGGCGGCTCCGTTGCAGCGAACTTGGCCTGTGCGATGGCCGGGGTCACAGAGCCCCGAGGGGCGGTCAAAGAACCAGGACACTTCACAGTGTGGAGGGCAAGGTCAGACCACAGGCCTGCCTGCGTGTGACGGACCGGGGAGTCTGATCAAAAGTGTGTTTCCTACGCCTCCGCCCGGTACAACCGCTCCCTGCCCGGCAGAGGTCAGGGCCGCCTGCCGGCGGGGGTGCCCCTCCGCCCCAGGCCTCTCACTGAAGGGCCCACCGGAGTCGCTTGCCCACCCCTGCCCCCCTCCCCCAGACTCCCCACAGCTCGGCCTCCCCTGCAGCGCTGGACTGAAACCAAATTCAGATCGAACTGAAACCTATACAACAAGACTTGCCCCTGCAAAGTTGGAAGGCAATTCCCAACAGGAGTTGCAAGACAACTTTGAACAATGGTCTACTCATTGAATTTGGCACACGGCCTATTGATTTTGGAGGGGAACATTCGCGTCGGCTGTTCTCCGCAGATCACTCGTTAAGGCGTCAGGGATGCGCTGTCAGGCCTCAGGAAGGGCGGGAGGCGGAGCGAGGCGCCCAGGGGGGCCCTGAGGTCTGCGACGGACTCTCGGGTCGGGGCTCTGCCACCTCGCTGGTCAGAGGGGACTGACTGTCTGCGCTACAGACCAGCACCCTCAGTGCGGTCACTACACAGCTGTTCTTTGTCGTCAGCCTTTAGGGTGGACAACTGTTAGCATTTCGGTTCCTACACCTCTCATGCAGGACGCAAACCGACGTGAACTCGGTCCGCCCCGGCTGTCCCGGGCCCCGGGGTGAGAGTGCCCCAGGGTCTCCTGGTGTCTATGCCCACCGCACACGGAGAAGCGCTTCAGCTAGCCCTGACACAAAGCAAGCCAAGAGCATAAATCATGAGGTTACGCACTAATTCATCATTGTTGTCATGTTAAAAGACATTTGTGAAATCATTTTATCAGCAGCAGGTCCTGTGGAAAAGGAGCTATTTTTAACTAAAAAGACAAGCGGTTTTATTGACCTGCATCCCATTGGTGAAGTCAGTCTTCTCTGAATACCAGGCGGTCCTACACGCCCGCCGGGAGACACGCACGTTTCTGTGCCGGAACGCGTGTGCCCACCCACGACGTCCACAGGCGGAAAGGGGGCTCGCTGCAGTGAGCCATCCTCAGCCTCTTCCAACCACTCGAACTTGCAGCGTGCACGGGCGCCCTGCAGGCTGTGGACGGATGTGCGCATGCGTGTTGTGGGCACGCCCGGCTCCGCGGGAAGCCTGCTCAGTGGTTGCCGCTCAGAACCTCTCCGCCCTGTGTCACGCTTTTTTCTCGGGTGAAAACAAGGCCCGTCCTCTCCAGTCTGGGCACCGGGTGGCGGAGTGTCAGAGGTCACGCCTGAGGTCTGGGTTTTCGGGGAGCGGTGAGTCCCCACACGGTCCAAGACCAGCCTGTCCTGCGGTGGGGATCCTTGCCCAGCAGCGACCCCGTGCGGTGCGGAGTCGCAGAGCAAGTGGCCAGTCCCCCCAGGCAACCCTTCTTGACCCTGGACGGACAACTACCAGGGGTGTCCAACCTTTTGGCATCTCTGGGCCACACTGGAAGAAGAAGAGTTGTCTTGGGCCTCCCATTAAATACTTCGTGACAAAATAAATCTCAAAATAATCTCACCACGGTTTAAGCGAATTTACGACTTTGTGTTGGGCCGCGTCCACAGCCATCCTGGGCCGAGGTCGGACACCCCTGGCCCTTGCACGAGGCGTGTTACAAACACGGCCCGAGCACACGGGAGAACGGAGTCGACCGCTGCTCTCCCGTCTTTCTGGGCACGTGCCCGGGTGCCGCGGTCCCTCTGGGGCCCGGGGTTCCCACTGCAGCAAAGAAAGACAAGCCCGTGCTGACACAGGGGAGCCCCGAGGGCAGACCACCACGTGCAATCACATCGAGCCTCGCCAGCCCCAAGGGAATCCAGCCCCTCACTAACAGAGTCCCTGGGAACCTCCTGAGATGCCTTGAAAGCGATGTGCCGTGGAGGGCGACCTGTGCCCAGCTGTTCCTGACGGCTCTCGTTATCAAAGAAGCCACTGGCTCTCCTGGGGTGCCCACCGTCAGACGGCACAGGGTCCACCCTGGTTCCCCCCTCACTCACTCACTCACTCACTCACTCACTGCGTGAGCAAGGGCTCGGTCTCTCCATCTGTGAAATGGGCTGGTCGAAGCACACACCTCCCAGGGTTAATGAGGGGAGTGAATGAAATGATGCATAGGAAATGGTTTGGGGTGGGGCCTGCCCAGCAAGGCAGCCAGGCCCTGCCGCCCGGCCCTCCGCGCGGGCGGCCCTGCCGGAGGAACAGAGGCCGCCCCTCAGCCCGGACAGCCAGAGCCTCCGGGCCCGCTCCCTGGAACAGTCCGGCCAGAGAAACGTCACAGCGAGGCCAAAGAGGGCGCGAGGGTGTCCCGGGTGTGGGGTGTGCTGAAAAGCCGCAGCAGAGAGAGCGCCGCAGTCAGACCGCAAAAATCTGAAGCTCTCAGACCCAGGGATCCCCTCTCTGGAACGAGTGCAGGGGGCTCCCTCCAGAGGGGGGTGGGCTTGGGGCTCGCAGCAGGCCTGGCTCCCGGCTCCTCTGCTCTGGCGAGGCCCCCTGCGGGCCGGGGATGCCCCTGCGCCCCGGGGGGCCTCTGCACACGCCATGCCTTTGCCCAAGCGAGGGTGGGGTTTGGGAGGGGGGGAGGCGGGCTCCCTGTGGCTCCGCTCAGCCACTCCTTCTGTGCTCTGGCGCTCAGAGGGAAAGCTAATGAGAGTCTGGAGGCCGGTCAGAGGACTCACAGCCAGCTTCATTATTGAGGATAAAAGCCGGGCAGAATGCATTGAAAGTGCTTGGGAGACCAGAGACAGAAGCGCGATTCAGCCCGGGGCCCGGGAGGCCCCCACACCAGCCTCTGTGGGCGGCCGCGGCCTGGGACTCTGGGTTTGCAGCCCAGGGGCAAGTGCAGACCTCATGCTGGTGCAGGGTTGGGGGGCAATCCTGGGGAACCGGGGGGAGGCAGGGCGCTTGCACGGGGCTCACCTCAACACATCAGAAGGGAGGAGGGGGAAAGGGGTGTGGAGGGAAGAGTGGGGGAGAGAGCCAGGTCCTGAGCACATGGGAGGGACCACGGCCTCCAACAAGGCGCCCACACAGTGCACCCCGAAAAGTCAGTTCACGGAGACAGCAGCAATGAACTTGAGGAAACAGACCTGTATCTCAAACCATTCTTCTGGCGACAGGAGAGGGGAGCCCTCCAGAAGTGGGCCTGATCTGTCTGGCTTTCTGTCGGGCTTAAAAGCACCCCGTCTGGCTGCCACTGGAGCTATGCTGGTGGAACCTCTGGTCAGAACCGGTTTCCACTCAGGAGCCGACATGCTGGGGACGTGACGAGGGCCAATGACTTCAATTGTATTGGGCTAATTTCATTCCCATGGGGCCTCTCCCCATTCAACCAAAGGTGGATCGATGAAAGACGGAACTCATTTTTCACTTTCTGCAAGGTTATTCTATTATTTTTGTGAGCAGAAGTACTCCTCCACGCTGGCCCAACTATGAATCTTCGTCCGCTGTAAATGGTCCACCGGTTCCCCCCAAAATGAAAGGAATTTTTTTTTCAGATGGGTTGCTGAGAAAACCGACAGGCTCGTGCAACTTGAAGAAAAGGTGGTGCAACTTCAGTTCCCCAGCGGAGGGGTGGGTGGGTGGGTGGTGGACAGCGGACGGCAGGTGGGACCCAGGGTCCACGACAAGCGTGTCACTTGCACTGGGGTCGGGTCATCACGTCAGCCTCAATCAGGAACTACGGTTTGTTTTAGCTTGTACCTTTCGCTCATTATTTCTTCACCTTTTCCAATCTCATTTTTTTAAATTCAAAAAAACAACACACACAATCATTTACTTGAAAACGTGTACGCTACCCCATCCTGATAACCTCCAATATGTCAGCAATTGGACCAACGGCATCCCAGGTGTTCCTTGAAGATTTCTTAGAAAATAGATCACTTTCCACGCCACACGCCCAGACGCCCGCTGTGCAGGGGGGTGAGTAAACTCTTCGGGAATCCCTGGGACAGCCGCCGCCGCCGCTCTCTTCGCCCTTCTTGGCTTTCCTTTCGGAACGTCCACCTTTGCGCAAGTCTCCCGAGTGCGCATCCTCTTCCAAACCCAACCGAGAGTCTGAGGAGCGGCCAGCGCGCGGGGGAAGCGGCTGACCGGCATCTGGGACCCAGGGCGGCGTTTCTTCCCCCCTCCCGCCGCACCGGGCGGAGCAGCAGTCGGGCAGGGCCCTGCCCTGGAGGAACGGGGACCGCGGTCCCCGCTCTAGGACGAGGGTCCGCAGGGCTCGGAGGAGGCGCGCGCTCCGCCCGGGGTCCAGCCGGCGGGCCCCTGGCAGCGCTCCGCACCGGGCTCGGCGTGGAATCGCAGACCCGAGCCTGAGCGAGAGAACGGGGCCCCAGAGGCTGCCGGGCCGGCGCCCCCGCCAGCGCCCCAGCCCGGCTGGCCCGCCGGTGCGGCCGCCGAGGGGCTGTCGGAAGACTCTGCGCCAACCCACGAACTTTCTTCAGCAGCGCGGCTCGGAGGCGCTGGGAGAGCAGTCGGGCAGGGAGACTCTTGGGACAAAGGACCGGCTTTGGCAACGGGGGAGAGACACCCCGGCGCCCCCAGAGGGCTCCCGGGCACAGTGCCTGCCTGTCCCAGGGACAGGGACGCGCGCGACCAGCATTCCACGTACGGTGCCCCCACCCCCCACCCCCACCCCCGGGTGCGCGCCGCAGGGCAGGGCGGCAGCGGGACCTACCAGTGCGGCCAGGATGCGCCGGCTCTTCTCGTCCGTGCAGCGCTCGGAGAGGGCGCCCGGGTGCGCGCGGAGCAGCAGCGCGGCGGCCAACACCCAGCCCGCGGTCCAGGCGGCACAGGCCACCAGCGCGCCCCGCCCGCACCGCCAGCGCCGCCCGCAGCCCCGCGCGCCTGCAGCCCGCGCCATGGCCGGCCTGCCCGCCACCCACTCAGCCGCCTGTGCCCGGTGCCGGTGTCCTGGCTGCACTGCCGCGGGCTCAGCGGGGGAGGGGGCGCGGGGGAGAGGCCACGCGAGGGGAGGGGAGGCCCGCGGCTGGGTCCCCTGCCGGGTGAGTCCTGCCGTGGGTGGGGGCGTCTGCCGGGGCACCCGGGGAAGGGGGTGTGCGCCGGCCGGCTCACCCCGGACGCCCCGCTCCGCTGCCGCACCAGGGCACCCTTTCCACTTTTTTCACCTTTTCCCCCAAGGCCAGCTCCTCTCTCAAACAGAATCCGCATAGAGGCCAACTCCGCGGTCTAGCGCCTGGCACCTCTCAACGCATCTTCAGTTCAGGCGAGACTCCAGACACCCCTCCTCCCCGCCCCCCTGGGCTGCTCTTGGGGTCCCCAATGCAGACCCCTGGCTGCCGTGTGCCCCCCTACCCCATTTGCTTCTCTGCGGTATTCCTCCCTCCTCTGCATCACCCGAGTGGGGAGGGGCCCCTGGCGAGACGACCCGAGAGCATGAGTGGAGTCGGGGGTCCCCAGACAGGACCGTCTGGGACGCCGTGGCCACTGCAGCCTGCCGTCCCGGCCCCGGCAGCCCCCTGAATCCAGCGCCCCGCTGCACCCACCCCAGCCCAGGCTGCCAAAAACCCCGGGGTGTCCTTTGCAGGGGCAAACAGCACAGCGCTCTTTAAAACGGTTCCGCTCCCCCCTGGCGAGGAGGAAGCACTCGCTAAATGTGTCTAATCTGCGTTTAGGTCTGTTTGCAACATCCTCTTGGGAGCGACCTTCAGGGCTCCAGCGCCAGCCAGCCATCGCGGCCCTGGGGTGGAACAGACAGGCAGCTCCCCAGGCAGAGCCATGGGTCCCTGGTTCTCGACAGCCTTCCCTTCCCCCGGCCAGCAAGCTGCTCCTCCCTCTCACCCTGAGAGCGGGGCTCCCAGAGAGAGAGAGTCCCTGTGGGTGGGAGGCGGAGCTGTGGCAGCCCAGGGCCTCTGAGGGCGCCACCCTGGGGCTCCTACATCCGCTCTGCGGGAGCTTACCCTGGGCCCCTCAGGTGCCAGCGAGTTGGGGGGAGGGGTCCTCATACCCCTGCCTGCCCTGGGCCTGAACGTCACACACCTGGCCCTGAGTGTGGGGACCGCCAGAATCCCTCTGGCCCGGAGGAAGCAGGCTGTCATTCTCCCTGGGCACCAGCTTCCACACCTGCTCTGCCCTGTGGCGCGGCTCAGTGGTAGAGGTCTCCGGGAACTGGGAAACGTCACCCCAACAGACGCGCAGCCCCGAGGAGCACTCTGGGCGCACCGCAGGTGTCCCCCAATGCCACGGGCACTCGGGATTTGGGGAGCACGCAGTCAACAGCGGTAATGCCTGTCCCTTCCTTGTGCCCAGCCCCCCACGCCCAGGGCACACCCAGCCCCAGCCCCGAGCTCCACCTGGGAATATTTTCCTAGGCGGGCTGTACCAACGTGGTCTTCTCATTTCTAAATAGTTGCGGAGCACCGGAGGCATCTCGGGGCACTGCTTTCAATCCTGACTTGGTGGCGTAAAGGCGGTCCACCCCCTTGCCCCAAAATTGCATGGGGGGAGGGGCAGCAGTAGGAAGGAGGATGAGAGGAAGAAGTGCAACCACGTGGTTTCAGACCTAAGAGCGCAACTCACAGGGGAAAGGCAGCACTTGAAATCAAAGTTAGGGTTTGCAAGGGAAGCTTTACCTTTGTAAGTTTTGGAGACATGTGCATAATCACACTACTTTTGGCATTTTACGAAGAAAAACATACAGAAGAAGCGACACTGGGAACCCCACCACGAGGAGACCCCTGGAGGGCTCGCACCGTTTACCGCCCAAGTCCCAGGGTGCTGCAGGGCCGGGCGCAGACCCGGGACGGCAGGCCTGCGCCGCCAGCCGCCTTCCTGCAGCGCGGGATGCACGCCCCCTGCACGGAGCCCCCCAGAGCGCAGCCCACCCAGCCCTTTGCCTGGGGTGGGGCGGGAGGCACCCCTGGGGAAGCCTTTTAAAATGACCTGTCCAAAGGGGCTTTGGGGGAGACTCACACGAAGGTGCTTCCTAGACCAGCTGGTACTGGAGGTATTTCCCTAGAGCAGCAACACGATACGCAAGTGAGTCCTTATGTTAACCCCCCGATGTGGAGCTTCGGCTTCATGAACGAGGAGGGAAGCAGGGGCTGGGTCTCATCTCCCTGGAGCCAACGGCAGCCCGCTGGGGCCTGGCAGGGGCTGCGGGTATGGGAGAGGGGTCTGGCCAGCCTCGAATCGGGTTGATTTTAATTGGCTTTGGCTCCTTAAAAATACCATGAAATCCGGGAGCTATACCCTGACCCAGACGTCAAAACCTGAAGTCACGCTCCCGGGAATGGCTGAGTGCCACGGTCCCTCCCGTCATGCTCAGGGTGCACAGAAACTCCCAAGGCAGCTCCCCTCTGTTTGGAAGGGGACAGAAGCCCGGGCAGATGTCCTGTGAGCAGGCGAGGGCACCCTGGGTCCGAGCCTGGGACCCACGCCCCACGCCCGGGTCTCAGGCCCCCACCCTCCTGACGGCAGAGCGGAGCCCTCACACCATGTAGCTGGGGTTCGCCTGCTTTAATTCAGCACGCAGCCCGAACTGTGTCGTCCTGGTCCCAGCATCCGACCTGCTGTCCGCTCCGGAGGACGCCCCTCAACACCCGCTGATGCAGTGAGAGGAAGAGGTGGTCTGGCCTTCCCCCCGAAAGATCAGAGAGCTTGGAGCACCCCCCGGGATTTTTCTCGAGCATTTTTCTTTTAACGCATAAATATTTCCCTCTGATTTCTCGAGGCTAAATCGCACAACGCAGACACATCACAGGGTGCCGAATACGTTGGAACAGACCCTTTGGGTTCTGAACTCCCGGATTGACAGTTGGACTTGTCTGTGAGAACAGAATATGAATGTTTGGCTTCCAGGCCATTACTGGAAGAAAAAGTGCAATTCTGGGGTTCTCTGATTCTACCAAACAAACAGCTTTATCGGTGCTCGCTTCTGCTACACTTCTGTGTCCTTGGAGCTCATAAAAACATTTGTCTTCCTACAAAGACTTGGACAACAGCAAACACACCTGTGCTTGTATGTACTTAATATGTTCACATGCATGAGCTCACTCAGTGTTCTCAGCACCCGGAGGGGCGACTGGGGGCATGTCATTATCTAATCACAGAGAAGGACACAACCTTTTGTACATGAGCTCTTAGTAGGAGGGATGGCACAGAAGCCTCTCTCCTGCTTCTCGGTTTGATGCTGTAACTCCTGTCTCGTGGTTGGGACCGCCCGCCCCAGGAGTGAGATCAGGGTCGTGACCTGCCGCACGCGCGCCACCATCCCTGATGGGAGTGATCTGCCACGGGCGGGAGAGCGTGTTGGCGCTGCCCACCGTTTGCAAAGGTCTCGGGAGCATGGGTTTCGCTCCGGCTTAGCTTTCCTGCCGCGGTCTCTGTCGCCCACCCCAGCGGCGGCGGCTGCACTTGGGGGACCATGGCAGGGCAGGAAAGGGGGGACCACCTTTCGGAGGGAGGTGTGTTTCTGTGTGCCCCCCCCAGAGTTATGGGGTGGGGGGCCGAGGGGGGGTAAGCCTGGAGAAAAGGAGGGAGGGCCAGACTTGCTGCCCCACTCCAAAAACAAAACAAAACAACAACAACAACGACAAAAACAGTCTCCCCGAAACTCAGGGCACACCTCAGAGAGGCTGGTCACATAGTCACTCGGGTTCCACTTCACCCAGGTGCTGGCCTCGCCCCCGCCGCCTCACCCGGGATCCGCCCTGCGGATGAAGGGAATGTGGTGGGGAGAGGAGGAAGTTGTTTCCTGGCCCGGGGCCAGCCCGGGGTGGGGGGGGTTGGCAGGTGTCCGAGGGCAGGTGCCTCTGGGAGCCCTTTGCCACCCCAGGCCCGGGTGTTCAAACCAAGAGCGCAGGAGATGGGAGTGTAGAGTGGTTCTCACACACACACACACACACACACACACACACACACACAAATAGACAAATAAATTAAGCCTGGCTTCCCCTGCAACCTTGCATCGAGGGCCCAAGTCCCCCGCGTGTGGAGTGCTGTCAGCAGCCCGCCCTGGTTTAGAGGAATTAAGCATCCCTGAAGGCCGTGGGTAGAGCTGAAGGTCAGGGTGTCTTCACAGCACGACCGATCGCAGCAACCAGCCGGATGGAAGCGACCTAAATGTGTGTGACCACGGAGACGGATCTGCTGCAGGAGGGGTCCTCGCCCCATCTCCTCGCTGCCGCCTCCTCTGAGTGTTCAGGTTGGCCAGACACCTTCGCACAAGAGGCACCACCGTGCTCCTCCAGGATTGGCCCCCAGACGCAACCCCCCCCCGGGGTCCCCGGGCCCTCCCCAGCCGCACGACGACTGCAGGAAAGGTCTGACCTCGTTGGGCCTCCCGGCTGGGGTTTTCGTTTCACCTCCAGACACAGCTGCCTGCCGGGCTGTCCCCCAGCGCCCTGGAGAGGTGGGCCCCCCACCCCATGCCGGTCAGTCCTGGTCCCTCTGCCCTGCGCCCTCTTTGTCCGGCGCCCACTCGACGCTCGCCAGCTCCATGCGCGCAGAGGTGAGGATGCCTCCTGAGCCCTTGCTGTTCCCAGGGAAACCCCTCGCAGGGGAACAGCGTATCATGAAAACATAGCAGCCCTTCGGAGAGGGTGACATTCCAGAATTTATTTCCCTTTTGGCGAATGTCGTAAAGAGTGCCTGAAACCGCCCACGGCCCCAGCTGCTCCCTCAGCGTGGCGCTCGGTCCGACCGTGGGGGCCTCTCCACCAACCGAGGGAGGAGGGGGCTCTCAGGGCCCCCCGTGGGTGTAGCCGGGCTGTAGGGTCCCAGAAGCCTCCGTGCCCCGGGCAGGGCCGCTGTGCCCAAAGACAGTCCTGAAACTACTCACAGCCCTGGAAGTAGGTTCTCGTAACCGAGGGTCATTAAATGTTGGCTCATGAGAAGAGGCCC